GCAGAGCTCTCGTATTAAAGTACGAAACAAAGCAAAAATGCGCAAACTGAAGCCCTGATAAGGACTGATTAACGTAAGATCGCGAAAAAAAAATACACCGTGTTACGGTCGTACGAATAATCACACGTCCACCTCGGTTGAGCGGTTCTTCGGAACTCTATGCAATATAATGAAAGCAATAATCATACCCATGAAGTAAGATATAAGGAGACTCCACTCAGTCTAGCTAGTCGACGAAACATGGACCGATTTTAGGTTTCGAGTTTAAGTTCCGATTCTCGACACTCACAGCGCTCGTGAAATTAGTAGTGCTGCGCATAATGAGTGCGCCGTAGTTAGAAACGGTAGCTAAAAACGGTTAAAAAAGGTGGAAAGAAACTGTATTCCGAAAAAGAGTTCTGAAGAACCGATCGTCTAGTCTAGATTGCCTTGCCACTAATAGAAGAAGTATTCCGAAAAAAGTGTGAAAAATCCGAATCTTTAAAGACAAATAGGAGAATTGCAAATATTGCAATGCCATTTTGTTGTATAGTGCCCGGTTGCAAAACAGGGTATAGAAACGTAGGAAGGACGACGGAAAAGAAATTAAGTTTACCACGTACGTGGTTAAGTCCAACCACGTACGACAGTAAGTTAATAATAATTTCAATAAAACTTGAATAAATTTTTATTCTAATATGTATTTTGTATCAATATTCATATCATACGATATTCTCTCTCTAGAGATATTTCAGACAATAGTAGAATCACTTACATATATAATTTCAATATATATACATTGTTTCCATTTTTTTTTGTACAGGATATGTTACTACTGAAGTGGCAGCAAGTAATCCAACGTTTCAAAAGAAAACCATTATTATCCAGTCATGTTTGTGAGTTACACTTTAGAGAAGAGGACATTGAGAGGTACTGTGTTACTGAATTGAATAATAAAAATATTTTTATAATGCCAAAAGAAAGACCGAGTCTTAAATTAGGAGCTGTGCCTTGTAAACTACTAAATAGTGATGCAGCTCTTGAAAATATAAGTCGTTCTTCCACATCTGTACAACAGTGCAAAATTGAAATCCAAGATTTTACCACAGAGGATAATAATTCACTAGAGAATAATAATGAATTCAATTTGGCAAACTTTATTTCTGAAGTACAATCATCGCCGATACACGAATGTGTCTCGCCGATACAAGAATGTGCCTCGCCGATACAAGAATGTGCCTCGCCGATACAAGAATGTGCCTCGATGCCAGTAGTTGACCAATTTTCTATAATACAAAATCTATATGAAACAGTCACTCTTCCAACAAAACTGTGGTTTTCGCAAGTATTCTCAGATAAAATCATATGGGCTCAGTGGGGTGACCAATATAATACTGCATTCCGTGTAACTTTGTTACAAGATATGAATCTTCAAGTAAGTAACATGAGAGGACAATTTTTCATGATATACATGTATGGCAGAATTGTAAGTAATATGTAATATAAATATAAATATTTCTTACAGATCTTCATAGAAGATAGACGGATATATGTGCCGGGATTAGAAAAAATCAAAACAATCACCGAGATATCTGCTGTTCTTAGACGAGTTTCAACTCTACTCCCTTGTGGTGGAGTAGGAATAGGGACTGAAGGAAAGTAAGGATATTGCCATATGTTATATAAGACGTAATGTTTAAAACAGTTAAATACCATGGGTTTATTATTTCATAGAACCATCGAGTGTAGCGGTTATGTATTGAAAAGCAAGAGTGGCCCCCAAACACAAAGGTGTAAAATATGTACTAAAAGACGGACGCAAGTTATGAGGAAATTGCGAAATACTAATAAGACACTAAAAGTGAAATGTACAAAAGGATTAAAGAAACTAAAAAATGCTCTTAAACGTAATATTAGATTGCGGACGAAGGTAATTTTAAACCAATATTTATAATTTGAAAAACATTCTCCTTGGTACTTCTATTTTAATTTTTCACAAGATTAAAAAGCTTCAATTAAAAATAAGAAGCTTGCAACAATTGCTAAAGCAAACACGGAAGCTGTAGAACAAGCGATAACAAATTTGCCTGACAATCAAAAGATAGCAGTTCGTGCGTGTTTATCTGCATCACGACTAAAGGGACGTAAAGGTATAAGGTACACTAACCAGTGGATTTTCGAATGTCTTCTTTTGAGAATAAAAAGTAGAAAAGCATATGAGCATATTCGTAATCACAATATCCTTGTTTTACCGAGTAGTACAACTCTTGATCGGTATATTCAAACCATCAAGGGTACGTATGGATTTCAAGAAAGTACATTCCATGTATTGAAAGAAAAGACTGTACATATGAACAGCAGAGAAACTCATGGTATTGTATCTTTATATGTTACAAGAATTTATTTTTGACATTCTAATTATTATTTGTTTTTAATGCAGTTATTTTCATTGTATAATTACAGGAGTCTTATTAATTGATGAGATGAAATTATCGGAGGCAGTATCTTTTAGTCGTGCACGATTGGAAATACAAGGATTCACTAATTTAGGAAAGTACACTCCCCTACACCAGAAGGGGAAAAAAGTCGATCATGCACTTGTAATGATGTTCCAACCATTTCAAGGCAAATGGGTCCAATCTCTAGCCTGTTTCCTCAGCAAAGGTTGTGCCTCCGCAACAGTTCTTCATCAGCTCATTGTAGAGTGCATCATACTTGTAGAACAGGCAGGATTACATGTAGATGTAATTACAACCGATGGAGCCACATGGAATCGCTCGATGTGGGTTAAATTTGGAATAACCGAAGAAAACGTGAGTTGTGAACACATCGTTGACCCATCTCGTCGGTTATGGTTTATTTCGGATTTTCCACATCTGGTGAAATGTTTACGCAATTTTATAATCAAACATACAGAAACATGGGTAAGAATCGCTATATCCACAAGTATGTATGGCACAAGGGACGATTCAACACAGACACTACAATATAATAAATAAATTATATTTTTGTTCAAAGACACCTGATGGCGTGATAAAGCTTTCACATTGGTATGCTTTGTTAAAAAGCGAGAATCCTACAGGTTTCAACTTAAAAGTTGTTCACAAGTTAACCATCGACCACATTGAGCCTCGGTATTATCAAAAAATGAACGTTGCACTAGCATTTCAGGTATATTTACTCGACCTTCACACACAATTAAAATGTTTATTATATATTAGAATTATTAGATGATCCTGTAATATACTATAATTTCAGTTTTTTGGAGTGGCAGAATCCATGCAACTATTTCAAGAGGAATGTAATGAACTACATGATTCTATATCGATGCAATTGTTCTGCTCTAGAATAAAAAAGCTCATTAAAGCTATGAATTGCCGAACACCAAAAGATGCTATGAAGCTGGATAATGAAGCATGGAAGGTATAATTGATTATGTTCAACCTAAATAGATGCTTTGTTCCACTTACTTGAACATATCAAATTTTATTTTTTAATCTCAATTGTTACAGATAGTGGAAGAATTTTTGATGTACATAAATACCTGGGAAACGGAAGTTAAGGAGAAAGGGTTCCATTTCATGTCCGACTCTACATGTCATGGATTTAAAGTATCATTGAAAGGTACTCTTGAAGTTTGTCAGTATCTGACGGAAGACTACGGATTTGATTATTTAATGACAGCGAGACTCAATCGAGATAGTTTAGAGGTTTAACAAAAAAATCTAATCAAATAATTAAGAAATAGTAAAATTGTTTATTGAATGAAATTTCGTACATTGCTCAAAGGCTGAAAGCATTTTTTTCTGTATCGATTGAATCGAAGAATCAACATTTCGGTTTTTTATTAATTTCATGTATTTGTTATTAAAAATTTAAAGTGTAGTTGTAAGAATTTCATTATATCTTTAATATTATTTCCAAAATTTATCCAATAAACAAAATTTTAGACTATTTGTATTGCCATTATATTTAAAGAAATGTTTTTGTTAAAGCTATTTTTTGGAATGATGCGCAGCTGCTGTGGATCGAATGACCATCCAGATTCTACGTTATTTATACAAATGTACCGGCTAGTATCGACATACTCACTTGTGAAGCCTCCAAAAGGAAGTAACATCTCTGGTGGAGAAATACTGGAAGTTCTGCTGAAAATTAAAGATATTATGGACATAACAGAAAGAAATACTCAGTGGGATGCTCAAATAGATACTATATTGGATCGTGCAATAAATGTAGAAGTTATCTCAGAAGCAGCGTCCATTGTTGAAGATCATGATTATTTTACATGTACTACTTCGGAATATGTAGTCGCATACATAGCTGGTTACGTGGCAAGAAAAACGTCACGGTTCGCGTGTTTTTATATTGGCCAGAAGCGTGTGCTATGCAAGAACTGCATAGCAACACTGCAATTGTCTTCATCAGAATTAGTTCCAAAAAGCTACAAGCTTATTTCGCTTAAGTCCAAGGGCAATCTCATCAATCCTTCAGTCAACCTTTTGATTTTGATTTCAATCCTTGAAAAAGCAACCTTGAATATTCTTAATAGTAATGAATTAAATGCGAATACTCTTTTTGAAATTACAAAAATTTTGGAGAATGTACGATCTTTACCACTAGTTGGATGTTGCAAACATGACATGGTTTTAACTCACGGCGTTATTCGCTTCTATCTAACAACTCGAATTTATTTTATTTGTAAACAAGAAAATAAGAATAACAACATGCAAAATCAGCGGACTCGAGAGAGAAGGAAAGCTGCTAAACTGACATCTTGTAAAGAGATAAAAAAAACTGAAGTCAAATCAAATGAAGTAAAGGCAATTAATAAAAGAAAAAACGAAGAAAGAAATGTGATAAGAAACAAAAGGAAAAGAATTGATGTCATACAAAATAATAAAATGTAAAATACAATTATGAAAATTTATTTTTATATTTAAAATAAATGATATTTTTACAAGATTCGACTGTACTGCTTATTTATTATTCAATTCTATGTATAATTACAAATTATTAAGGTTCCTGAGTAGTTACTGTGATATTCTAACGTCATAAGTATAACATCATATACAAATTAGTAGTGCGTTGTACTATATATACAGTTTACATCATTTTCAGTTGCTATCAAAGATTCAACCTGTCCACATCGTTGAGAAGATTTTTTAATTTAGCCATGCATGTGACATACATATATTTTGACAAAGGATAGGTCAAGCCATTCATAAGAACAGTAACTCTCAGGTTCGAATGCACAATTACTTTCTTTCTGAAATTGCTAGTACGTTTAAGTTGGTGGAAACGCAGTGATTTCTTTGTCCTTGAATGAATCCAATTATCCGATGGCAATTGAAGTAGATGAAGATGCTCCAATAGCCATACAAAATTAAAATCTGCATTGAACGTTGTTGCTCTAGGGCAATCCATCATGTATCTCTATTTCCACTAAAACATCATTGTATAATTTGCGAGTAACATGCACAACAATTTCATATAGATTACACAATTTAACAATACAAAAGAGCTAACGCGGATTTTTCGGATTACGAAAGTGTTATAATTTTTTAAATATAAATAAAATAAACATTTACGTAAGCTCAGTTTCTGGCAATCCGCTTCGTTGCATTTTTTTTAGTCGAACATAATGTAGTTAAAATTTTGAAGGAGACAGGTTCTTCTTCTTCTTTTTAATTTTTGACTCACATTTCCAAGCAGTCAATAGGAGGTCGATGAGGAGGCAGGTTATGTTCGTGACACTTTTCTTACGACACACTCATTATGCGCAGCACTACTAATTTCACGAGCGCTGTGAGTGTCGAGATTCGGAAGTTAAACTCGAAACCTAAAATCGGTCCACTTTTATTTTACGGAGTGGAGTCTCCTTATATCTTACTTCATGATCATACCTATACGAATCCATTGTAGCCATTTTCCACAAGGCAATAAAAAATTGTTTTCTAGGTGAAATTGTTTCATACCCTTTTGTCTTCCGCACAAGATCTTCCGAAATTATGTGCAATATATATTCGAACGTTGCTTGTTTCAATCTAAAAACAAGTTATATTTGCTTTTATTATTATATATTATATATTATATTATTACTAATATTATTCTCTAATATTATTGTATCTTATATGCAACAATAACAACTACAAAAGTTACACAAATAAGTGTTTTTAAGTAATGTGTGTGTGTGTGTGTGTAATGAAATAAATAATCACAATATTTAAAATTCTTTTACGTATAATATTCTTTTATATTTTTATGATTATTTTCACTTTAATTCATAATTATAATATAAAATTCATTAATATGATCATAACAAACTCCATCATGATAAATATATAAATTTATAAAAAATAAGATATTTAATCTAAAATGACTTTTGAAGTCGTCATCCGAATAAAATTCAATTACGAGTTCAACATTTTGCATGCGAGGACGTAAGACGCGTTTCCGTTTTTCCTTTCTTAATAACTCCCATTCTTCGTCAGAACTCGAATCACTTTCTGAACTTTCTTTCAAAAATAATAATATTGCAAAACTAGCAATATTTTCCGCCATGTTTTAGCATTAACAACTTCTTCTTAGCGTGAGAATGGCCCCGACTCGTAACACAGAGTCGATACGGCCAGAATCGAAAATGCCGCTTATGCGGTGAGTTAACAAAAACAATATGCAGAATACGAAAGTCTAAAAGAGTAAGGGCCTGAGCACAATAGAGGAACAGGAATTAGATATTAAGATTGTAACCTATCAGAAACTGATTACATCGGTATACACGGTTTCTGATAGGTTGAAATATTAATATCTAATTCTTGTTCCTCTATTGTGCGCAGGCCCTAACAAAAACTCAATTGCGCGTTTGAAGCAGGTCACATTTTCCAAAAATGACGCAATAACACGTCCGATCACGGCTGTGTTCCAAAATTGTTTGTCAGCGCTGCGAGCATGTCGTCATAAGTGCATGCTACCAATAGTGTTCCAATTTCATAAGCATGCTTTTTATGCAAACGCAGTTTTCATTTTGGAACGATATTTTCAGTGCTGTCAGCATATAGCGACGTCAGCGAAAAGAAACAAATAACCTAGAAATATGGAGAGAAGCATACAGAAAAAATTCGTATTTGAAACTATTATAAAGTTAGCACTTGAT